AAAAAAAAAAAATACTCATCAAAAGAAAATATTATACAAAAAACAGATCAACTAAGTGCAAAGACATGATCATAAGCACATTATCAGAAACATGAGAATTTAATTTTACGAAATTAACAAAAAAATTAGAATTCGAAGAGATTACCAAAAGGTAGCAGCAAAGGATCACCAAGGATTAAAGTGATCATGTAATTTTCTTAACGTTTATTTGGTGATTATTAAAAGGATAAATTATATTTCCAATTTTCATTAGTGTTACTAATTTATGGTGTGTATTAAATGGGTTTAATGCACGCGATTCCATTTCCAAATTTTGTTACATTTTTAATTAAAAATGCAAAATTGCAATTTTAATCCTGTTGGTTTGATCCGCAGTGACGTTTTTAGTCTTACGAATAGAACATTTTTGCTATTCGGTCCTATAATTTTAAAATTCAACGCAATTTCAGTTCATTGGGACTGAAAATGGAACAAAATTTAAAATTTCAGTCCCAATGAACTGAAATTGCAGCAAAATACTCGATTACAGGATTGAAAAACAAAAAGTTGAAATTTTGAGAATAAAAATGCTACAACGTTAAACCAACAGGACTAAAAATGCAATTTTATCTAATTGAAATGTTAGTTATATTATGTAAAAAATTCTGTTTTTTTAATTTATTAACTTTTTTTCAATATTTTTCAGTATAAAAGCATACCTGTTGGTGAATCTTTAGTTATGCAGCAACATTATGAAACGATCAAGTCTGCTGATCTATATTCTACATTTGTATACCGTGCAACAATATAATAAACTGTACAAATAATTAAGTCGATGGATGAATAAGGTTAAAATTAATTAAAAATACGATTAATCTTAATATTTTGTTAATAATTTTTTATTAATGTGTGTGTATCCAATATTTTAAAATATTTTATTATTACTAATTTACGGTATTAAACAAATCATTCATTTATTTGATTATTTTTTGAAATAATCAAAATATATGATACCGCGTTTTCATTTTGTTTACAAAATAATTCACAAAACGGTTCAACATATGATTGAATTATTTATCCCCTTTAATGCCATTTACTTTCTATTCAAAATAGCTGTTTACATCTATTTTTATATTCATTTAACCGTAAATTTCAAATCCATATTGAGCTAATAAACCCAGAATATTATTTTATATTTTTCAGGTAAAATTAATTATATTTAATATACCATCTTTAAGTATTTATGAGTTAATTTTTGGTTTATGCAATGTTTGTAATTTACTTTCGCAGTTTTGTTATAGATTCATCAGATGACTCGGCTTATGAAGTCATCCACACTTATACATCAATAGAGTAATGACACGTGTCTTGCAATAAATATAACTAGTACTAATATCCATGTACAACATGGGTGTTGAGTTAATGAATATATGTGTAAAGTTATTTATGTCTAATACCAAACCTAACTCCAGAGCAAAAATAATATAAAAACAACATCACGAAGCATAAATTTTCGCCATGTCAGCTTCTGAAGCGTGAAAATCTGTCACCTAGGCTCAACACGTTTTGAATTAATATATAAGGAGGGATTTGGGCATGTGTCAATACATTAAATGATGGATGACCTCATAAGAAAACAAACATATGGCTCCATAGAATTTTTTATTCCTTTCGATAAACTATTTTTTTTATATAGTATACAATTATTTAATTAATTTTCACTTTACACGCCGAATACAAAACATATTAATTAAATATATTATATGTTACAAAAGAGCAACTCAAATAGACAAAAGGTAACAATTTTCAAGATATTTAAGTCAAAACTAAAAAAATAGAAAATAATATAAACATATACATATTTTAAAAATATATATCAGATAAAATTGTGGATATTTAACTGTTAATTAAAGTAAATAGGAAAAAATGAACGAAATCATCCACGCTAGCTGATAAAATTTCCCATTTTCATATGAAAAATAGTAATTATTTATAAATATATCATATTCTATTTATATATGGATATCCTATATTTTATTTTTACTCTAAATGGATGAAAAGTTTCTTTCTACCTTTTTTTTTTTTTTTTTTTTTTTT